TTACATTTAATAAAACACGTCGCTACGAGCTTTTATAAAAAGATACGGCTTTGTTTTAAAAATAAAGAACAAAGCTAGTTCATCCCGACGGGCGTTCAATGACCGTACCTATATAAGTAACTTTTGCTGTATAACAAAGTTTCAAAACGGCCAAAATCAATTAAAGAAAATGTTTATTATTTTGTATATTTTATCAGCGGAAAATTGTGAATTATCTAAATTATATGTCGATTCAAATTACAATAAAATTTAAAAGAAAACATTGCACATAATTTATTCAAAAAGTTAAATATGGCATATGTTGTTTATAACTCAAATAATATAAACCATAATTTTTAGCACCTTATTGTTTATTTTAATTGATTAGAAACGAACTCGAGAACTTTTTATTATAAGAAAAATACTCATTATAATCACAAACTAGTGCAAACTCATTAGTGCAATAATTCCACATACCCGGAACCGATTCTTATTAGTCTGTATATTTCACGCGAAATGCCTACGTGAGTGAAGTTCTTGATAAAAAAATGCATAATTAAAAAGCAATAACTTTATAGGAGTCCGACTCAATTTAAACCAAATGCGAATGTCCAATTATAAATTCAACAGCATCCCACTCATTCATTTGGAAATAAAGGGAGGCATGATGGTAAGAGCTGTTCTACGAATCTTTTCAAACAATCAATAATTAGAAAAAGTCAAAAAGGCGTAGAAATGTTTTGGAAAAGGCAAATTGATAAGTTTAACTTATTTACCATTAGGTATTGCGAATAAACTTCCGCCATAAACTCTTTTTGTCCGACGGTGAAAACCATTGCGGGGCTCATGAGAAAAATCAAGAAGAGAAAAGGGGGCCCCAAGAACTGATTTTAATTTGTAAAAGGGCACAGAGACTCGAAAAGAATGCAAGAAGTTAGAAAGTCGAGGATTGCCGGATGACAGCCATTCACCAGAACTTTGATGTAATAATTATTGCAATGTTAGCCAAAACATAATTATGTTTTCTGTGACAACTATCATCCATAGACCCGACCATAACAATTTTTATATACCCGGTTCTGATACTTAAATAATTTTTGGGTAATAATTTTTGGAAAATGCTGTGCTGTAAGTGTATAGCATAGCGGTAATTATCAAGTGTGCATCAAAAAGTACCTATTCCTCCGTTCAATTTTCTTTAAACCTATATTGCATCTTGTCAAATGCATTTTTTACACTCGAAAAAAGAAAATATTGTGTGACTTCTGAGAGAAACGACTCCTGCATTGGCTCAGGGGGCTTCGAAAGCCACTCATCAAAAGTTGCTGGCAGAGTCTAGCTAACATAAGCTTTTCAGGTTAAGGCAGGACCCATCGTGGTCCACCGACATCATATCGCACCTCTCCAACAGCCGTTGGTCTCTGAAGGGTATTCCAAAATGGAGTGGGCGAAGAAGCGGATTTTATGAATGTAGGCGAAGAATCAATTTTAAATAATCTCGTTTTTCGTAATATATTCCTTGGGCCTCAATTATTTAACAAACGTGATATAAACTTGGAAAGAGAATGAGAATTAAAATGTTACTAAAATTCCGGAAACTGACCACCCTTTCAATTCGGAATCTTTCTTTAAACATCGTTCCATACCTGTAACCTATTAATTGAAATGCACCGAGTATAGAAAGGTGCTGACAGACTCTTAAGGTATTTATTATACAACTTTTTTTTTAACTATTATTAGCCAATATTAGTAAATGGACACTTTGAAATCACATGCACAGCTGGTGACGTAGCTGTATGCATAATGCAATTCGATATTAATAACATAATCCACTAATATTGATTGGTTGCATACAATCCTATTAGGCTTTCTTAACCAAGCTATTGCAAGTACGTCACTTTATTAATTATACTTTATAATTCTCTTTAGCCATAGAAAAGTAGTAGCTGACATTTTCACATCAATTTATTATTTTATTCAATTATAGAGTATATTTTAGATTTTTATTGGATTAAATACTTTAAACTACAACGTTTTAAACTCTCCAGAAATGTGTTTGTATCCTATTTCAGATTTTTGGTTGGGCATGGAAAGTTTAATAAACATATGTATAATCTCAAGTTATCCGAGAACACGCGATAGATTGTTTAGTTGTAGCATTGTATAATAAGAGTACTCTTATTATACAATGGTTGTAGACACAATGAATTGGCAACTTCGTTCTTAAGAAGAGAATTGGGAAAACTCCATGTAATACCGATGAGCCACAAGGGTTCAATTGAGCTTATTTTATCAGATGATAACTTGGAGGATATACTATTAATTATTCAAAATTATGTGAAGTCCTTATTTGAAAGATAGTTAGTATCGTTTCCTATGTTTTTTTTTCTTATATGTTACATCCTTCCTAACCAGGTCCACCTGTGCTTTGTTGAAGTTTAAAAATGTGCTGCATAGACCCCAGGACGAGAAGCGTGTGTCCATGTGTTTATCCTTTGTTGCTGGATTCTTCTTTTTTTCTTCTTTTTTTTTTCTCTATCGTTGGTTAGGTTGAGGTAATTGTGAATGGTTAGCTAAAGTTTAAATTTTTGAATATTGTTTTCTTAGCTAAGTGAGCTATGCTCAAGGTCATAAAAAAAATACTTTTGAATACTATTGAAAATGGTCAACGTTTTGAGATGCAACGACCTTCAGATGCATCTTTTTCTAAGCTCAATTTCAATGTCGTTCTCATCAAACCAGTCTTGATGTTTCTTTCGGAATGCTTCTCTACAACTTTTGTCGAAAGTATTCTTTCAGATTTCAAAATATTTTGAGTCCAGAGATGCGAGTAGGTCTTGCGACGCGATTTTTGTCCGTTATTTGTTATTTAGACAGTGGAACTCTCACTTTACAACATTTTACTACGAGGATGAAATGATCAGATCCATTTTCTCAATCGAACCGAATTTTGATATCTTCGTTTCACCTTACTGCAAAAATTGAGCTAATAGACTCCTGCCTCTAGTGCGTCTATCTATTATCTTTTTTCTCCAAATTGATGGTGATTTTCGATTTTTAAACTCCTCAACAGTAATGTTTTAATCAGCAATAGGATGTGGGTTTGGGCACTTACTGTGAGGCCTCTTTGTTTAAAGAGTTCAGCAGAATGCCGTCAGTACCAGCTGACTTATTGTTAAGCTCAAATTAGTACACTAGTTATCTCTTCAATTATTTCACTATTCAGGTAAAATTGATGTCACAAACTGTGCTGGAACTAAGTGACTTTACTAAATTCATGTATTGTTTTTACAATTCTCTTATTCAAACTGACTTATGATTAACAAACTACAAACTAGGCGCTTCATATACAATTTTTTTTGAATTTCTGAATATTCGCGGAAAAGCGTAGACGTAAACAATATCGCCAGCTTCTCCGCACCAATGCAATTTTGTAATAATACAGAAGTTTTCTGATATAGCTTCATTTTTCCTTATTGAAATTTTTTTATACTCGAAGGGGACAATCAAAAATAGGCTAGTTGAAGAACATCAAACTCTGCACCTGAACAGCGCGACTGAAGAATTTCAGAGTAACCCGGAAATGCTGAAACAGCGCTGCCCGAAAGCAACTCTGGCCATGATTAAAACTGAGTAACAACAAAAGCGGAAAAACTAATAAACAAATTGAAAGTCTTTGTCAGAAATTAGTTGCAGTAATAAAGAATCTAGATGATAGACAATAGATTTTGACGATTTCGGTTTTAGGCCAGTAAATGTAGGAGTCCCAAATGCCGGAATTTGAATTGAGAATCATTCTAACGCCTGCACAATATACATAAAACTTGACTGGTATTATTATAGATGGACCGATCACAAATTATATCCGCATCACTTCACCGGGACGGCCGTCGGTATTGTAAGATGGTATGTGTTCGTTTGATGTTGAATCTCGATTTATCTTTGATAATAGGAGCCGCGGGACTGTAAACGCGTTGATTCATTTAAATTTTTGCCGAAAAATAAAAACTATGATATTTGAACCCGAGCCATACAAGAACAAAATGGACGCACTTACTTGTGTTCCTCCAACGACGTTTTCTTTTCCTGCAGGTGCACCGGATGGTCTAAAAATTCTTCGACGAACACAATCACATAAAATAGGTTTAAAATATCTTCTTAAACTATGAGGTTGATTTTCTAACGGATTTTGAATTGAATTTCAAAGGATCGGTTTTTAGGGTTCTGGAAACTCAACTAACAAGTTCGGATCTCTCTCTTAATCTGGTTGGTGCGCTGATTTCTGGGAAGCGCATCGAATCTTCTCGTGCCATATAGAACTTGAAATTTTATGGCGCTTAAATTTAAAATCAAGTATACGAATACAATTAGTTTGGAAATGAAGCTATGCGCTAACATTATTCAATTACCGCAACTCACTTAGAAGCTTTTATCACCTCAAAAATTAGCCCTGAAAGTTGGGACTTCGGAGAGCATAACCGGAAAAGAAAGAAACACATCAAAGACGATCGTAGCAATCTCATTGAATATTGTAATAAAATAGGAAACATTATTATAACGTAGGTATATAGGCAGAAATAAAACTGGATAATCAAGCCAAAAATACTCTAGTAGTACGAGAACAATTTCTTATTTCTTTAGGCCTTAGGCGAACAAAGAACACTATGCAAGGCGATAACAAATATTGTTTTCCTTATTTTATACAAAGAGATAGATTTACAAAATTTCTATTTTAGAAAAGGAATTTGAAGATTTATCCAAATTATTCAACATTTTATGTGATGAAGAAAATGGGCAATACAAAATTTACTTGCACTTTCTAATTACTTTTTAAAATTAGGCGGCATTGATTTCTTATTGGATCGGATCCTTGTTCTCAATATAGAAGCCACATTACGCTCTCAATGGCAAAAGTTATATCATAGGGATTATCGTGGATTTTTCCTTGGGTCTCGGATGAAAAGTTTTAAAAAAATGACATTAAGTTTATCACTAAATTGATATTAAAAAATATTTTTTAGTTTCAGGTCCGTACTCGAGGACAAAAATCAGGAGTACGGGGGGCGGCTATTTCAACCTAGAATGTCTTTGCTGGGAAAACCTCTTAACTATAAAACTTCACGTCGCGATGCCCGATACCGAAGATTGCAGAGCCGGGTTTATAACTTCCTGGAAAGGCCCAGGGGTTTTGCGTTTATTTATCATTTTCTAGTGTAAGTAGATCCTATTGTGTAAGTAAGTATATATCTCCGAATGAATAAATAATTCTTTTGTTTTCACTAACATAATGCATAAACTAACTAAATTACTGAGGTGCACAAATTAATTTTGGAAGTGGAAACTTCTTATAGGAGTTCGGACTTTTAACGCTCAAATTTAAAGCCTTTGGGGAGAGGGACCTTAAGCCGCGTACAGAACGAATTTCCAACGACACATGTGAACTATGTTGGAACTTCTTGGCTTTGGTGTGTACGGCGGTGTGGATGATGTTCTCAAATCCTTCCCACTGCTTTCCAATTCCAACGCTGTCGTTGGCGTTGGAATTTTTTCAAACATTGGAAAGGATTTGACAACATCGACCACATCACCGTACACACCAAAGCCAACGCTTTCCAACATATGGTAGTTCACATGTGCCGTCAGCTAGCGTTGGAAATTCGGTCTGTACGCGGATTTAGACAAGGAGCCTATTGAGCCTGTGCGTATGAGAGAAAGAGAGGTGCGTTTAACGCTTAGTCTTTATACTGTTAGAGAGGGGGGACACAGGCAACGACTAGTCTGTGCGTAGGAGAGAAAGCGAAGTGACAAACTAGCGTGAGGAACAAAGATACAGAGTTGATGCGTACGCATGGAAGAACGGTACTGCGCTAGTACGTGTGTATAATAAAGATAGAGAATAGGTCTGTTCCAACACAGTAGGAAACCGTACAATGCAGAATCGTTACGGTGATTCTGCGCAAAGCGTAAAATTTGTGCGTAGAAACCAAAATTCGTTCACTGAGTGGTTTCGAAACCGTTCATGGGACGGTTTTTGACGTGTTGGAACAGACCTAATGTATACGTGGAAGGCAAAGAAACATACAACGTGTTTCTGGGCTTGCTTATGGGAGGAATAATGATCTGTTGCGAGAACTGGTGTTTTGACATTTTTTGACAAAAATTTTAAATTTTTGATTTATGAAATTCTCTCGTGCAAGGGAAATATATATATCTATAATTTTCGACAAATTTGCACGCATGCGTTTTTAATTCAAAAAGGCGCTCGTGTACTACGTGCACTCGTGCTCTTTTTCAACTAAAACTGCATTCGGGCAAATTACCCAAAAATTATCGATAATTACTATTGATAATTCAACTTCTGAATAACTTTTATGTGTAAAATAAAAGTTTAATATTTTATATCGTATTTTAATTGTAATCCAATTGTAAATATAATTAAATCAAATGCATTAATTGTAATAAAATTTTTAAAAACAAATCAATGTTTGCTATTGAAAAATATCTTGATAAAATGGTTTCATAAAATAAAAATTAAATTGCAGTGTGAATTAATTTATCTATTTTTCCAGTCAACTTATTGTCCACTAACGTCTTCTCTTCTATGCACAGCCATAGCATATCATATTATATTTATTTCAATAGGGAAGTTTTCACTTCTATCGTGCGTCGTGACACACTAACATTTTTTTTTCTAGTATCGGTGCTTGTGATATCTATAAATCAATCTTCATTCATTACTGAGCAAAAAGAAATTAATAATTTTAAATAAACGGCCTGCTCAACTTTTCTCTCCTTTGTTCACTAGTTTTTCAAACAAACTTTGAGGTCAACGTTACTCGCCAGGCTGGACTTTGACCGAACCGGACTGGACTTCTTCGTATAATTAATTTTCGAAAATTTCCGAAACTCGTTCAGCTAATAAATTGCTTTTGATTCCCGTAGGCTAGATATTGCTGTTTATGCGACTTCCGATAAATTTTATGTTGTTTGTGCATGTCATGTCCCACGAAATTGTTAAATATTACAGCAATAATCGGGGGTGTGTTTTTATGCTGGGCCTCGTTTGATTAAATTAGTCTTTGTATTCTAAATTGTTTATCTGTTTACCTATATAACAACGCACTTCCATTTCAATTTTGAGTGCTAGTGACTAATGGCTGTTACTACAAAATCGAACATACTTTCATGTATGACGATTTCAAAAATGCGACATTGGTGGAATTGAAGTCTAACATTCTAAACATTTTAACACACTTGATAAAACACTCATCAGCGGTAATATTTGTAACTAACTAATAACAACTCAGATAACACCTCAAAGTGATAAACATTATTGATAATAATACTTAGGATATTGACACTGGTCTTTCGAAGTGTCCTTTTTAGTAGCTGAGGCTGCCAAATAGGTACCTATTTGAATTTGGAACAAGTATTTTTTTGAAGTTGGTCTGGTCTAGCACGGAATCGGCTATATTTTATGTTACGTGTTATGTGCTACGAAAAATATCAAGAGCTCAGCTATTACGCCCTTAAGTATGTTTCCTTCATAAATTTTTATCTATACCCCCTATCCACTGTTTTTATCGCCCATCAATTTTATTTTATGACGAACAGTGTCTTGGATTTTGGTCACATTTATAGGGTAGAAACTTCGATTTAGATGCTGGAAATTGCTGGTTGTTGTTCTCATATTGAATATTTGTAAATAAAGTTAATATTGGATATTAAAATAACTTAATATTATAGGTAACCAGAATCCTATTCGAAGATCCAGGATTATTGCGGTGCTGTCCTAAAGCTCTCTGTCTAAATTTTTGCAGTGCGACATCCAAAAAAAACAATGTCAAGATTGGAGACAAAATTAATAATTATGTTGTTATCAAAGTTTGGTATTATCCTTCTTGAGTATACTCCTCGTGAAAGTTTTTTCACTTTCTGAAGAACACAAATATGGCTCTCTGGAATTTTCATCAAGATCAATGATGCTATCGCCTATATACTTATATTCACACATTCAAAAATTAGTATAATTGTGTAAGACTTGCGCAGGGGATTCTATATATGGCCGCTTTATAATTCAAAACTTGTCTTGCCGCAAGTTTATTACGGGCATAAATTACCAGTTGTTTTACAGTTCGCAGTTTTATTTGATCACTTTTATGAGTCAACAACGAAAAGAAATAAAACTATGGATCAGCTGTTTTTCTTGAAGGTATTTGATGTATTTAGTGTTTTATCAATTATTGTCAGTACCTATTTGATTTGCTTAATCACAACACAATTTAGGCCCAACTTTTGTATTTGAAAAGTTAAATGAAATTCAATTTAAATATGCAGCACCCATCCACATATTTGAAATAAAAATTTCTTATCAAATTTTACTTTACTTTCTCCATTTTCCAGAAAAATTAAACTTTTGACATAAATACACAGCATTCACGCAAAAGTCGGAACTTGAACTGAAATGACGTTTCAGACTTCGAAGTGCATATGTTTTTAATATACCAAACCAAGCATGTTTCTTGTACAGGGTGTCCCACTAAAGTCGACGAGGTACTATATTATGGGAACCAAAGATCTTTATAACATAAAAACGAATGCAGATAGTGAATTGCGGTTTGCAAAATGTAGATATTTTTTTGCTCTTCAAGCACAGCAATAAAAAAATAATATCATGCCATTTGGATTTTACAAGAAAATTAGAAAAAAACTGGATCTTGGTTAAACAGCGGCCTCTAGAAGACGCGGTGGAAACTATCGACCCCGAACGAACTGGTGTTTCTAACAACAATGAAATTCTCTTTCAAATGAGCCCAAATAGAATGAGTTTGGATAAGGGGTATGGAAGATACAGCAATTTTTAAAACTATGTTTTCATCAGCTTCCCCCACCCTTATTAGTGAAGATATGAAAAAAGCCTTAAAGCCAAACTGGCGCAAAAATTAATGAACTTTTGATTTCTGTTGTTAAAACAGTACTTATCTTAATATAGCGATTTCTTGAGAAAATTGGAATTTTTAGTTATATCATCGTAATTGCGCCCCCTAGCGGTCATCTTAGACTCTTGAAAATAATTTCCATCAATTTCTCTTGACCGATTTAGTGAAGAAAAAAAAATTCTGAAGCCGTAAGGTCTATGGTTTCCATAATATCGTACCTTGCCGACCTTAGTGGGACACCCGGTATACTGTGATTCTTGGGTTAATTTCGGTCACTCGGACAGTAAGCTGGTAGCATCTGTTAACTGTATATAAGACGTGCGGCTTCAAAAATATTTTGTACCAAGAAACATTCAATGCCTAGAATCCAAAGAAACTTCGATAATACTCATTGACAAGGAAAAATGAGAAGAGACAAATTCTGGACAAGGATTACAAATATTATAAACTAACCTAGAAGAAGAATATTGGTTATGTCTATTAACAATTGATCCAAGAATACAAACAATTTAGACCTATCAATTAAAAAAGAAGCATGTATTAAAGATAAAAGGAATATGAAAGCTAAATTAAGCTAAAGCTTGAAGCCAATGAGTTCATCTCTAACAAACAGTATAGGGTGCGTTCTAACAGATCAACAGGGAATCTGTTGGCGTACCTACGTCAGTTATATTTGGAACCTGATTCTCGAAAAGCATGGTGAATTTAGAATTGTAACATTGGGCATCTCCAAGGCTGTTGATCAGGTGTGGCACGAAGGTCTCCTCGGCAAACTTCCATCGTATGGTCTTCCGAACGAATCTAGCTATTGGCTTGGGAGCTTTTTGGAACGCAGGTCACTGCATGTTGTATTCGATGGCGTGTCTTCTGATAAACTTCCTATAAATGCAGGCGTTCCCTAAGGCTCAATTCTGTCCCCAACACTGTTTCTTATTTTCATAAATGATTTGTTAAATATAACAAGAAACACCATATACAGATTTGCGGACGATAGTAGCTCGATAGCATCTTTCTCTACTCACAAACCGCTTACTGCAGCCACCTTGCTCGAGAACGGATTCACTCTATCAACAGTAAGCTTGACACCAGTACCAACTGGGGCCTCAACAACCTAGTCAAATTCAATGCTTCCAGAACCCAAGTAAAAGTATTCTCAAATAACAAATCTTCCGCCGATGATAACCCAGTTTTAAGGATGTCGAGGCAAGACCTTTCTATCAATCCCTCATTATCTCTTCTTGGGATGACCGCATCGAAACACTTGTCTTGGTATG